ACTTTCTCAGGCTAGGGTTGATGTCCCTGTCTTTTAACAGAAGGGAGTACCAAGAGATGTCCACGTGACAAATGTATTCTCCCTGCTCCTGTTGTGTGGTAGCAGTCCTACTTCCTGCCAATGATTAAAGCTCATTATTCCTGCCAAGACAGTACCTTCTCTTCTTGCCTGCTCCTCTCTGGATCCAAAGTACTCAGGTAGCAGCCACAGCTTACAATTTAATGAAATTCTTGCTGTGTACTCTGTGGGAAGTTTTCCCTGTGGAAGACCAGGACCTCTGACCCTGCAGAGCCTACAGTTGTGAGGATGGGAAGCTCAGATTCCCCGGGGGAGTCACTGGGAATGTTGGGAAGTAGGAGCACTTCAGCTTCCAACCTTTGGTTCCCAGATCCATGTATTATTTTCCTGTTTGGACTTGTATAAATTCTATAGGTATCTGGATCTCATTTCCAATCCTGCCTGGGACACTATTACATTAAAAAATTGAAGCCCAGAAAAGTTAATGAATTTGTTTAAGGTCACACAGGATGGCTATGAAACCTCATCCAGTTCTCTTTCCCTGTGCTTCTATGCTTCTGTATGGTAGACATGGTGTGCTGAATTACTTAGGAGTCCTCTATCTCAACAAAAGGGAGGGGCAGGGAGGAAGTGAGAGGATGCATTTTCTTGGCCTGAATTAGGGAGCCATTAGCTACCCCCGGTGATTAAATTATCTGGAATGGACACTCAACACCACATTACATACAGTTAAATGATGGACCTTCTTAAGATTGTTTCTAGCATTCATTATCTCAATTTAATGTAGGCAAATGTGATCATTCAGTATCAAGAGACCACAGTGGCATTGGGTTCCTGTCGGTTCTCGATTATCCTGTATCTTAAAGGAAAGAAAATGAAATATGTCAATGGGAAGAGTGTTTGACTGCTAAAGTTTATTTTACATATAGAAATAAAATAATGTGTAGCAAAAGCATTGATGGTGATGATGGAATAACTATTATTTATCATTTAATGAATGCCCACTATTTGTGAAGCACTGTGTAAAAAACTTCACAAACACATACTGTATAAGAAATTTACATATACTATATATTATATATATTATCCCTTTTACCAGTCACTCACACAATAAATGTCTATGTATTGCTCATGTTATACATGTATGTACTTCCTGTGTTTTTTCATTCTGGGGCCTCAGCTAAAGGAGTAGTCTCATAGGGGCATGCCATTCTGGTGGGGAAAAACACAAGTAAAAGTGGTAGAAACTCAAAATGCCTCTTAAAGCTTCTGCCCAAACATGCCTATATCACATCCATGTACCTGTGCTTTGAGGGGCCCGGAAAAAGGAACATTACTTTCATATGACCAGGCCAAATATCAGTGGAGGAGTGAAGGCAGAGGGCAGTCCAGATTACATAGTAACAGGAGAGGACATATAATCCCCTCACAGGAAAGGGGGCAAGAAAACAATTGGGGAGAACAATGAAATTTAAAATAAGATTGATATTAATTCCACTCCCCTCTCCACTTTCAGAGAGAAGATGAGTAACTGCTATGTTTCTCCTAGAGTTTGAAAATATCCCTTCCAGTGGGTGATTAGGTTAGGTGTTGGTAAAATTTGAGCTAGCGTTTGAAGGGTCGGTAGGATTTTGGTGCATGGAGAAAAGCAAGCACGTTGTAGGCAGAGGAAAACCCCAGAGTTCAAATGGCGCTAATCACACTGGTGGGAGGAGGGAGGGCGGGGGAGACCTGGTGGAGGCCTCTCTGCCCTCCCCGCCTTGCCCCGCCCCACCCCTGGGGAGTCTCTCACTCCTGCTGCTCACACCATTTGATCTTTTTTTTTTTTTTTTATTTTATT